ACATTAGTAGTGTTATTCGCAGCAGCAGTAATGTCGCTGCCTACTTCATGTAGTTGTTGGCGTGAAATTGGTTGTCTGCCAGGAATCCAGTCCCCAAAATATGCTTCGATGCAACTCTGAGGAAATTCGTCAAAGGCGGTGAGACTGGATGGACATCAGGACTGAGTTGACGGATTCCCAAGAACTAGGTCACATCGAAGAATCGTCTGTTGCGAACTTTGTTCAGTGGTTCGGGCTGCCGCCGCTTCATTCGGCGAGTATCTGGGATGTAGGATTGAAGATTTTTTTGCTCTGAGGAGCAACAGTTGATCTGGTTCGCGTATGAATCCAGGAAGTGCTGCGGACCTTTTTGCTTCCTGGGAGATTGGGAGTGGTAGCTGTGCGTTACAGACACTAGCTCGGATGCGTGCACGCCACTGAACGCCTGATTAGACCCTATCTTCCTATGTCCTTAATGATTGGTGTGGACCATTCAGAGAAAGGACAATGTCCCGAGTAGCGCAGTTTTTTGACATTAGTTACTATGCTTCGTTGCCAAGGGATTGGTTGACCTCTCCAGGATCGATGCCGCCCTCCACATCGTCTCCCGAAAGCACACGGAACACCTAATCGAGCTAGCGCTACCTATATGATACCATCTACTCGTCTCTCGTGTGAGTGTTACCTCCTCACAAGATCATCCAGACCAGCTCAGCGCTACCAATCTAGTGTCCCCACCAGACTTCAGCGGTTCCTCAAAGATACCAGCGCAAGTTCTCAACCCACAGTGACCAACAGCATAGAGCGCACTGCCACATTTTATGCTCTGACAGACATGTTGGCGCCATGTATACACCACTCTTGTGATCGTTTGGCATGGTCACTTGGTCCTCTGTTCTAGGGTGGTTATACTGTTTGGGGAGTGCAATAAGAGCAACGTAGTTGCGGGATGACTGACCTTACTTTCCGCGCACTGCAGGAACCAACATGTAGAACGTGGTAAACTCGCAAACTGTTGAGTAAAACATCGAAAATGTTGACAGATGCACTCGTCTGTACACTAATTTAGTTTTAGCGTGAGAGTCAGCTGCATCCCATCCGACGATATGAGGCAGTACCTCGTACCGACTGAAATATGAGGCAGCACATTTAGTTTAAGCAAAACTGATCGTGGACTGTCGAAGGGTTTTTCTGCAACGCTTCCTCAAGAAAACATCAAGAATGCCCTCTTCTAGTAATTCGGTCGTTAAAATTAGAGCAACCTAGACCCTGAGATGTTTTTTTTGCGCCGATCGGTCGTTGGTGTTTTAAGGAATCGCTTGAATCGCTTTGGTTGTCTACTTTGAACGATCATTGATCTTTGTGATGCTCGAGTTTGGTGATAACTAATCGACGTCAGCTTTTGTTACGCTCATGAAAGGACCTCAGGATGACCTTGAGATTGCCCTGACTTCAATGACCGAATTACTGGGGGAAACTTTTTTTGATGCGGCCTACTATGTACATACTGCATCTAATGTGTTTAGCTATACCACTGAGACTGATGCGGCTACGTACAAGTGTGAGTACTTTTCACACCGCAGGTTTGGAGCGAATAGCAAACCAGGAAGAATCACGTGGGCTCTATGGTAACGCTCTTTCTGACGTGGTCAGACCAGAGGAGACTTATGTGGTCAAACTATACTCGAAGTCTATGTGCGAAATTCCCGAAAGCGCTCTGACTGTTCGAGTGGTGGGAGCGTGGAACGCTTATTCCATGAACATATCGGTGACCGAATTGATAAGCACTTTTTCGGACATCACTGGATAACTTTCATGTGTCTTACAGAGCATTCTGTGGAGAGTCAAAGATGTGTGGGGTACCACTGCCACAGTGTCCAGAGACCAACGCACTCAAAAGAAGCTTCTTGGTCTCTAGAATTAGTGCAGGAGTCCCGGGATCTGTTGAAGAATAAATGTGTTACCTATGAAGTCTCCTGGAGGGCAGAGCCCAGCTCCAGTGGAGGATGAGGTCAGACTGCATCTTGGATCCCATATCATCCAGGTTAATCCCGTGACTGCTTACGCACCGGCCTCGGTTTTTCAATGAAGTGCTTCATTCTTCAGGTATCTTCTCTTCATCTATGTGGTTTACCAGAGGTCTCCTCCTTGACGTTTTTACCGCTTCAGTTCGTTTTTTTTTCGGAGCAACCAAGACCTATCTACACTCCATTCGGCTGTGTTGTGGGTGTTTTTTGCATCAACCTGTCTTTTTCACTGGGAGTCATCTTTCCTTCACCATTCATTGTCCTACAGAGATGGCGATTTTTTATTTCAAAGAATGATTCCATTGACCCGAGAATCTTTAGTTTAGGAATTAAGGTTCCCAACGAAGGTCGTGACTTCAGCTTGGGAACCGTTTCGTTACGTTGACCCAATCTTTTTATCCTTGGATTTATCGATGGGGCATGCTTGGAAATATTTCCCATAAACTTCATATTGCGCTGGTTGACTGAGGCCAACCGCTGCTGCCGCTGATGGAGGATCTTGATCCATATCATCTTTTTTTGCCGCTGTTTTTGCCTCAACTGTCACGCAAACATGCGTTAGACCAGTGGAGCTAACGTCATCATGTCCCAGGGATCGATTCGTTTCAAAAAAAAACATGGCGGACGAATGGGTTACTGACGCGTGCAACTTTATCAGTGTAAGGCACTGATGTTGGTGAGGATGCGAGTGATGAACAACGTATTTCATGTTTCACTGATATTCTCTTTCAGAAGGGTTACTGAGCTGCTATATTCGCATTTCCGGTTCTTCTATACTCCAAACACACTTTCTAAAAAATCCCGAAAAGGTTGCATGCTGGATACTTCTGCCGGCTGAGTTAATTTTACTTCAGTTTCACACAGGACTACGCGTTTATAGTGCGCGCGCACACACACAATGACGTCACAGAATAGCTCATAGATGCGTCATATAGTTACTTCTTGACAGGTAGAAATGAACGCGATAGATAGCCTTGCATTTACGAATCAAACGGCTATTGATGTGCTTCCATAGCTTTGGTGTGTAATAACGATATTTTCTCAGCTTATTTATCGGTCTGAACCTTCCAAGCTATCGGTTCAACCAACAAAGGTGCACAATGTATAGTAACGCCCAAAACCAGGTCAAAACCACATGTGCACCTTGTCGTATATAGTTTGTTTGCGGCGACAAGGTTCTGGAAATTTCGAGACCTTCCAGATGCGCCACTGGCATCCGTCGGATATTGGAGCTTAATTGGCTGTTGGGTCCAGATTTTCGACCAGTCAGAGTTCACCTTGATGCTGGACCGGTAGGCGGCCCGATCTTCTGGTCAATCACGTGCATGATAGCGTCTAACTGCGAGCGGTATCAGTGTGGAATTCCGCGTAACGAGATGATCGGCTCTAGAGGGAATATTCTGACCTACTCGAGGTGCAGTTGGTTCGTTTATCAGGTACTTTGGCTTTACGAACGGTTTTTGTTCTGTCGGCAGTGTGAAGAGTTTTGCACTGCCCAACGGAGGTTTTGTCCTGTAACTGAAGCCAGTGTGTGTTGAAAAGCCAAAAAGCATTGTTTAATCCTCATTGGGAGTATCGATGTCCTTGATCTCACGAAACTTGAGAGGGTTTCGAACCTACGACCTTCCGCTTAAAAGAGTGAACAGTTTCGTAACTGAAGCCAGTCTGTGTTAAAAAGCCAAGAAGCACTGGACAGTTGTTTAATTCTTATTGGGAGTATCGATGTCCTAGATCTCGAAACTTGAGAGGGTTTTGAACCTGCGACCTTCCGCTTAAAAGAGTGAACAGTTTATCGTTCGGCGACGGGCGCATGAACAACACCAACCCTCCTTTACTCACGTAATTCGCATCACGTGATCACGTGTAGACGGCCTTCTCCAGTGGTGCCCTCTGTTGGTTGTTTTTTTTTGACAGAAATTAGGCTTAGATGTAAGAGACCACAAAGCCCCTGAAGAGCGGCTCCGCTACCCCATAGCCGAGTAGGACTGTTTCAAATACATTATGGTGTCCATTTTTGCTTTAGACGTTTTTCTGGAATGCCATTGGCTTTGGTATTTGTTCTAATAGCTTGATTTTACAGCTAATAAACTAATGAAAAAAACAATTGTGAAAGCTGTGAAGCTTTGGCCGCTCGAGACGTCAATAGTCACCGCAGCTCACCGCATCATGTAGGTTGGAGCCAACATTTCAGTTAATTTACGTGACCGCTCACCTGTGACAGCAAGTGCCCCCGTGCTTTTACAAAAGAAACAAAGGTCAAATAATTGTCCGCATTGCTTCTTACGTCGACCAAGACCAGACGAGCATGAACGTCCTCGAACCGGTGCCGAATTTCCACTGTTTCGAGAACGCGCTAAACTTCGAACATCGGAAAATGTCAGCGAAACACACTGATTTGCAGACCAATTTGGTTTCGCTGGAGACTCATCTGGAACGTACTACACTACTCATAAGGTTGCTGAAATTTCTTCGAGAGCCCACGACCGATTTCGCCCTTCTTTGAGCTCATCAGGTAGGTACCAACTGAAAAATGAGGCGGCCTGTTGTGGCACATTTAGTTGCTTAAAAACATCACAGACAAGAGATTCAGCTAAGTTCCAGGTGAGCTTCCCACGGAACCAAATATATTTGCAAATGAGTATATTTCGCTGATTTCGGGCGATTTGGGTTCTTCAAGTAGACATCCCATTGACGGAAACTCTAGGAGTGCGCCTACCTGGTGAGTTCCAAGAAGGGCGAAACCGGTCATGGGATGTCGAAGAACTTTCAGCAACCTTATGAGTAGTGTAGTACGTCAGAAATACCACTTTAACGGACACTTGTATCTGAACCCGTTAGACTCCACATTCTTAGAATATTTTAGAACAGCATTAATTAATTTATGTTTGACTCTAAACAAAATTTGCGCTTTGCTTTTTTCTTTTCCTGTAGGATCTTTTAAAGACCACCTGTTTCTCACCTGATAAACTGATGCTCTTTCCTTGGTATATACAGACACATCGAGTATGAATTTCAAATTGGATATCATGCGGTGCCATCCATGCTGTGAGTTTCCTTGAACTGCTCAATTTTTGTGTTTTTTTCGATCGTAAGGTTGATTCCTGCTTCCCCAAGCAGTGCAGTGAAGATCGCTCATTCGAGGAACTCTTAGAGTGACCGTAGGATGGCTGAATTGCACCAACATCCGAATCTATTTTTTCGTTTGAATAGTTTTTTTGGAGTAGAGATTATCCATTTTCATCTCTCAGAATAACGTAGCTGTTTAGCCACGTCTGATTGATCGACTCAGGATTATCCAGTTACCATCTATTTTACATCAACTCAAGCTGTCGTGAAACAGGAAGTCGCTCAGGAAAGGTTCGGTCATGGAAACGTTTGTTGTATTAGGCAAAATCACAGCGTTTTTTTATTAGAGTACAAAGAATCACCCTGTACATCACTCCGAATCACGTACTGTTTGTGATTGACTTGCCTGCTGATTAGTAACTTGTGTCAGACGGTCGCTTTTGGTTTGTAGGGCTTACCTGTCCGCACTGGTGACTCAGGAGTGGTGAAACTTGCTGACTGCATGACTCTAGCTTACGTTGACCTTCAATTGTACACTGTGAACTACGGGGATGATTGATCGGGAGGCTTTGAACTGGTTTCGGAAAGTTCTTTACTGATCATGGTGCCCCATAGCTTATATCAGAATCTGCATTGGCCCTTACTCTGCAAAAAACCTGGTAATGCGACCGGAAGATTCGGTGGACCACGTGGCTTCCAAGCATGTAACGTGCAATAGGACCTAGCGAAGGGTCATGAATTCGCGCCGTGCCCCACGAAACGTTTCTGTCATCCACCACATAGCTGCTTCTTATTCAAGGTTATCCTGATTTCTTATAGACGTCCACAGAGCTGAGTAGACCAAACTAATAAATGAGCCACTCCAAGACAAATTCCAAGCTTATAGTCATCTATCCTATCCGTTAATTTTTGTTCTCGCGTGAATTTCAGAGTCCACCATGCAGTGCCGCGGTTGGATGGATAGATTACGTATTGAATTCATTGGCGGTTGTGGAGTTGTGGAAGGTCAGATTCCTGAAAGTAGCACCCAGAACGCCCACAACCCACTGAGACCCTAAAATCTCAGTAGGAAAGCCGGCAGGCATCCAGGCCATTCAATCATTCAATCGATTCAGCAAAAGCCGATGAGTTTTCAGGCACGCCACAGAAGCACGACCGAATGTGATCAGTGTTCAGGCTTTTCATAGAGGTACGATCGATGTTGATGGGTGCTCATTAACGCTTATCAGGCAGCCTGGATCAATGTTAGAAAGTGCCCTCTAAATGGCGCGAGCCGTTGTAACTTTGGCACTCGCACGCACTCGCTTGTTGTTGTGTTCTTTGTCAGTGAGTTTTTTCTCTGCCACCAGGCATTTCAGTGGGGACAGCAGTAGCTATAACTGCCTCATTCCTTCTACAGTGAACCGCAAACAGGAGCGTCGTTTACGTGATTAGAGGTAAAGTGTTATCGAATACTTGCCCGTCTATCAGGCACCGGCCGAACAAAAGACTCAGCGCTCATTTGACTCGAGGGCCGAAGTGACCAATCTGGCTTTGCGGCACAGCTTTACTGCATTTGTGGGACTGGCTGACTGAATCGTTAATCAGATCAAAACGTGTCGACGCATGGAGAGTGAAGTGGGTTGCATAATGACAACAAAGAACGCATCAATTCGGGAAGGCTACAGTTAGTTTTTTCTTTCATCTACACCGACCATAAGCAAACATGATCGTTTATCCCCGAGTGGAATAAATCGCACGACGCTTCTAACACTTTTGCGCAAAATCACGTTTTTGGCGGGAGAATTTAGGCTTTCTGGGTGCAAAAGCCCTCGATGTAGAGTTTAGTGAAACAAGATGATCAAATGGCCGTCATTCTAGCGTGGTGATGCATTTCACTGTGCGCACAGAATTCAGTGGTTAAAGTGCGAAATTACTGAGAGGAAGGTCCATGGTTCGAACCTTAGGGTCTTGAATGCTGCTGTCTAGGTTTGGGCAACCGAGCGGTATCTCAGCTCCCGTAGTTTCTTCGGGTGGCATGGCAGCTAGGCATCACAAGGTTGTTACGGCTGAACGACTATTACTATCTATGTACGTAATGCACTACTCATAAGGTTGCTGAAAATTCGTCGACCGCCCAAGACTGGTTTCTCCCTTCTTGGGGCTCACCAGGTAGGCGCAGTCACCTTGAACCGAGCTGCGAAGTCGATCGTCCCAAGGTCAGATGCTGAGCGCCAAAACAAAGCGATTTTCAGCTAAGTTTTGGTTTAACCTGTGTTAACTTACTTTGCAGTACAGAAAACAAGTTTGAATGGGTTCAAAATAACACCAACACAGCTTTATACCTGAGAATAACATAAACTACGTATTATACCCGCCAATAATTTAGATTGAATGAACACTCAGTTGGATTCACCCTAATGACAAATCTTCCCCTTTGTGTTCAGTTTATACACCATGTGGCAGTCAGTGGCTAGCTTTCTTCCAGCCGACTGGTTTCCAGCCCAGTTCTGCATTTCCCAACAAGTTTTTTTAGAACTAACTGTTCACACTACGTTTCGCCTCTAAAAAACTAAATATTTTATCGATTGCTAATAAAAGACTGCTTGAACAGGTAGTCGTTATAATGTGGACAGCATTCGCGTTTGCGCTTTTTTTCGGCCAAACTAAACTTTGGTTTTATTAGGAGAACCAGCTCCGAACGTAACGGGACTACATAACAGCCAATGGAATAACCGTTTTCGTTGAGACAGTTTTCACTGGTTGTTCTTGACTCGTTCTTGACAGATGAGTTGTACTCTTAGTATCACTTTTTTGACCCGCTTGTCAGTGATCAATAGATCTACCGGTTCGCACGTTCACTGACTTTTTCTGGTTTGGCCAAGCGCACCAGGCGATCAAGCGGCTATCGAGACCGGGGTTCACGGTAATAAGAATGCATTAAGGAGACCGTGGTCCACAGCAGTTTTCAAGTAGCTGTGTTCCATCCTCCGCTACACACGGTCTGTTCGGCTACCGTCTCACAATTTCACACTTTCGATGTTCGTATTTCCTTGAAACGATAGTTCTTCATTCCTCTGTACTGCTGTTGGTTCAGAAAACGGGCTGTTCAGAGGAATTTCGTCAACACATTCTCGCCGGCCTGTCATAAAATAACAGGCGAGCGATCAGAATCGATGGGAAAGCCCATGTAAACAGACAAGCGCGGGCGGACGGTGCTGGACCAGCCTGTAGACGTCACGTGACGAATGGATTTTTTATCTCGACGACCGATCGATGGGCAAGGGACGATGACCGGTTTCTTGTGCTAAGACAGTTTTTAACTGACTGCCTGAATTATGATCACTTTTTTCGGATTGACTAGAATAGCCTTTTCAGGATGTGGAGAGACTTTTCAAGTCGCCAACTTCCTATCGCACACCTATGCTAAATACAAATCAGGAAGAGCNATCACTTTTTTCGGATTGACTAGAATAGCCTTTTCAGGATGTGGAGAGACTTTTCAAGTCGTCAACTTCCTATTGCACACCTGTGCTAAATACAACTTAGGAAGAGCGTTGTCTATTACAATTTTAGTCATGGCGCTCTTTTGAGTGTACACACGAAGACCAAATACTGAACCGTTACAACAACCGTCCAAAATGAAACAACAAAATCCCGGCCAAGTCCGGCCCTCGTGTGAACAGTTTGTGTTGATGTGCCTATTCACCTCAGTTTACGTCCGCCGGCCGTCTCACATCGGACCTCTTCAGATGACCTCGTCCAACATGCGCCATTGGTCCTCATGTTGTATTGCTCATATAATGCACACCTTGCCAACTGTTGTCCCTTGCCCCTACATGCGGTTCCAGTCCGGGTCTGTCTTGGTTTTCTCCCTTTCTCTCTCTCTCTCTGTATCGGCTGGTAGGTCGGGGATTCAGCAGTATCCCAGTCAGCAACACATTCAACAAGGACGCAAATTCACTTTGCAGATCAAATATGACGTTAGCACATGAAACTACCGAACAAGCGGGAGAGGTACACGTTTTTTCTCATGATTTCATGAATTCGTGGAGAGTTCAGCAGTTAGTAACTTTTTTTCTGGAAAATACCGGTGTTATTCACTCATGGAAGATGTTTTTGCAATATTAACGAAAACCTGTGATTCTGTTGTTGTTGCCACACCGCGAGTTCGCCTCATTGTCTGTTGTACAAATCTATTTCAGTCTGAACTCGATGTATGCTGTTCTGGTCAGTGGCCTGCATTCTAACCACTATCCACTCGAACAGTTATTCAATGCACGGTTCTGCTCAGCTCTAAAATCTATTTTTCGGGGATGACTAGTCGTTACCGGGTTGCACTATGAGCTTTGTTTGTTCCGTTTGTCTACGGTCAATCTGTGATGCGTGCAAGCACGCACGCACGCAAACGAGCACACACACACACACACAAACGTGCGAGTGCAATACTGAATCCTTCCTTTCTGTCCTTTTCTCCTTACAGTCAACTTCATTTGCATGTGATCAGCACGGATTTTTGCTCCCCATGCTTGAAAACGAAAAAACATTGGAACTCATTTACCACAAACTTCTTCATTCCATCTCAAGGTCAGTGTTGATCCAATCGCATCAATCTGCGGTCGTGACGATTTTTTATTGGTGAAGCTCCAGATTTGCACACTGGCTTTAAATTTACCGGACTTATCGACCCGATCCTTGTGTTCGGACCCACAGGACATTTATATATCAACGCAGTCTCCTACTGGACTGCCAGATCCCGATCTCGCATCGTGAGCACAATACAGAAAATGGTTTTTTTTTATCAAAGTCTCCTCAGTTCTATCTTAGAATTTAATCAATACCGATGTCTCGGCTGAATCTCACTACTCAGGCAATGCGCCATCATTGTCTGAACTCGGTGAGGAAGAACCGAAAAGTTTGACTGCCAGGAGTCGCTGGTTCTCAGCTTGGAAACGCTGCAGATTGCCGAACGGCTTTACCGAATGAGCGGCTTCGAGCCGTTTTGGAAGAACGCTTCCCTAAGACATAAGAATCGCACTTTTGTGCTGTAGTATTTATTGCATTCAGCTGCATGCTAACTGTTGTCCTCTGGGCTTATTTTGGATGAGCGAAAAGCAGCGCATTTTACTTTTTCTAGCAAGGTCAAGGTTGCAGCTGTCGTGGGTTGCTACTGAAGAGAATGTTGGTAGTCCATGCAGCGTAGATGGTTGTTTTACCTATATCTGAGTGATATTTCACACAGGTATCTAGGTTACACCTGGACAACCCAAGAATTCCGTTGCAAGAACAATTCGCAGTCCCGATAACGGATACTGGAGCGCTTGCAAAAGGGAAGCTATTCTGTGGCTGGTCTTGCATAAGGTGGATGTCATGAAAGGCATTACTACCATCTGTTCGTTATTTTTACGGGGCATCCGTCGACAAATCTCTAACAGGTCTGTGTTCGCGATCCCATCAGCGGACCGATAACTGCTGGTTGCATTTGACTGAAGTGGTAACGCAAACCTCAGGGCTAGGGACACCAAGAATTGCGGCATTAAACGACAAGATACGGCAAATCTGTCGGTTGGGTGCCTAGGCGCCACGACACCCGAAAGGAAGCACGAGGAATGACATGATGCCTAAACCTAGACAGTAGCAGTCGATCTGCCGGTGTTGGGCCTGAACCGCAGATCATCCGGTAGGTCAGTTCACGTTGTGACCGCTGGGTCATCCCGATTCGATCAGCTCGGAATTTATTTAACATAAGAGCACTAAGAAGGTATCTCCAGAAGGTATCGCGCGCAGACCGCTAGGGTTCTGCGAGATATAGAAACATGACTTGGATAGGTCAGTAACGTTGTGACCTGGGAATGTACCGAAACTGACCAAATATGGAGTTCACCAATCATGTGTGACGGGGGTAACATGAAATGGAGTGGATGCGAGTTGTCAGGATTCACAAAATCTGTGCAAGATACATTGGCCAAGGGTTACGTGGTCTGATCGGAGTGCACGAGCGGAACAGTGTTTATCATTGTTGTCTTTGTGCTGCGAGTTTCAACTTTTTGTCGGTAGCTGGTCTCTCTCGGTGCGCCACAACAACAGAAGTTTCGGACTGGACTCGTCAATTAAGGTGAAAAACAGTCGCTCAAGATTCTTGGTGGTCATTAGATCACTAGAATTCGGCATTTAAGAAGTTTTTTCTCAAGCATTTCTGTACATCAGGCAAACTGTAAGAACTCCTAGGGACTCTACTCTCCTGAGTCTTTCCCAGTATTTCATGATCCCGTTTTGTGTCTTCATAGTGCGGCCTTGCAAAGACTGACTGTCGTGTCAGAACCCCAGCGACCGCGCCAGATGCTTTTATTTCAACCGGTGAGCCGGATAAGTACGACCGGCGTCTGAGAACTGGTAAAGTTAAAGTGGCTAAAGAGCCAGTGACACTCATTGGGTGTAAGATCCGACCGTTATGGATCTCACAGAACGATTGCGACTATTAGATTATACGCAGTTCGTAGCCAGTAGTCAATAGGAGCAGACAGACGTGAGGCAGCAGATGATATATTGAGGACTGACAGGAACTGGTTCTACAGAAAAACGGATTAGTAAGCATCATGAATTAAGAAAACGTACAATCAACAATGACGCAATCAGCAGGAGCGGGAAGTAGTCAATGTCACAACACGGATTTCTATAGGGGCAACAACAAGTAAGTACCAAACGATGTACAAACATACATATAGGGGCAGTCTGACAGTGTGAGTTGGCCGTGACGGCGCAGGAGTCAGTACGTTCGGAATGTGAGGGACTGTCTTTCGGTCGGTGTCGACGCAGCCGCTCGTGTCGCGTGACAGGTCAGATTGCGCGGTTTCGTCCGTTTAAAACAAAGCTCAGCAAAGGCTACAGGCGTGATACATGGGTAATACAAAATAATCAGCCTCTCTTGGCGCCAGGTCGCTGTGGTTGGTAGCGCGTTCGCGCGTTGATTCACAGGATGAATCAACATTAGGGGTTATTTTCGCTCAACACTAGCACGATGGAACCATAAGCATCTATCTATCTCGTTTTGTTACGTCAGACTATTCACCACATTCACGCTATTCAACTTTATTTTTATAGATTTCATGAAGATGGTTGAAGATAATCGCCAGCACGAACTACTTGACAGAGTCAAATATGAAAAGCTGCTGAAACAAGACCTCAAGTTTGTACCTATTCCGTCATTCTGATCTAGCCACCTTTTCTTGTGCAGGTGCCACAAATGCCATGTCGGATTCAAGACTATTCCTGCTTTGAAGGCGCACTTAGAGCAGCACAATTCTGAGCGGCAATCTAACGCTACTGACTGCAAGTGTCCGCGTTAGCGCAATGCGCATGCATGAAAATACATGTCTTGTGCGGTTCGTTTGATCTTGTTCTCTTTGAACCTGATTGAACAGAATCGGTTCACCGGCTGGAAACTGATTGGCTGAATCCAGAGCTGAAAGCTAAATTGCGATTGGTTCGCAAAACAGCCGATACCGCCGCCTTGAGGCGGTTGCACAGTGGGTGATTCTCTTACAAGTGGTTTGTCTATAAGCCAGGTGATTCGGTATCATTATTTGTTACGACTTGCTGGGGTTATTGTTCCTTCATAAGGATCGGAGAAATCACAGGTACCCTTAGAAATGCCCTTCCCGAGGTGTCCTTTTTTCCCAAGAACTTGGGGATGTTTGTCTGCAATACTGTTTCACATCCTGCTGCCGGACAACCATCCAGTGCCTCTACTTCTCATTTAAATTGTTCCGACATTTATCCGCAAGGGGCCCAAAGTGTACTAATCGATACAAGTGGAACTGTGAAAAACTTACGAGCACACTACAGAGGTTGGATAAGGAATGTACTTTCCACCAATTGAAGCGAAGTGCTGGGACTAAATGTATGCGTTCTGTCAGTAGAACATTTCCCTTGCAGTGCTTACCAAACAATAGTTGGGTGGGGATGGCAGTTTCCTTGGAAGGCAAACACAACCCCTTCTCATCCGAATATAAACGGGAGTCAACCCAAGTAAAAGTACAAAGTTAGACGACTCTTTGTGGCGGGTAGTTGTTGCCCACGTAATACTGTCATCTGTAGCAAAACAACCATAGTAGTTCTGCCAAAATGACTCCGATAAGTCGAATGCACCCGCTGTTCTTTAGTTTATCTCGGACTATTGCAGATGACCTTCAAGAGGCCAAACCGCGTAACGACCTTGGAAAAAAGTATAAAAGCTTTAATGTTCGGAGATGAGACGTTTCTCTTTTGTTTCAAGAGCTTCTGTGCTTATTGAAGGAATTTTTAGATTCCCTAAAATAACTAACGTCAACGGTTCGGTCACTTGTTTTGAAGTCCACAACAAAGAGTAATCCGACAGACGGTCGGATGAGAGAACATTTCCAGATAAAGTGATCGCTTTCTTAGAGGGATTCCTGTTCTCCCCATGATAAAATACATTCAAGGAAACACGCTTTCTGTTTTGGACCACATCTAGTCGACAGTGTAGGCCGCCACAAAGTCAGTGTCCCTTCGTTCAACTTTGAGGGGAACAATGTTGTTCAATTTTGTGGTGGATTAACTTGAACAAGCGGGGCAAAACGTGAGCAGAGCACACTTAATTCGAATGTTCATATCGTCCCACCGGTTTAGTACTGACAAGACGCGTCCAGACACGAAAAACAAGTACATGTGCAAAGAGTGATGCGCCCTAGGTGACCATCGGAAAGCAGATGCGTGGGCGCAACTCATCAAACATGGCTTAGCAGCATGCGACCGACGGTAGGAAAACGGTCACGATACGATCATCACCATTGGACGGACAAGAACGAACAAGACGGGTGAGCAAGACGAGTAGCCATTCAGCCATCCTGTATATTCACGCAATAGCTTTGTATTTTTGACAGTGTACGGAGGCCCTAATAACCAAACACCACATCATTTGGACGGATTTGTCACGTGCAGGACACGGGCCAAACGAAGGCTTGCCCTGATTAGTCAGAATGTTAGCCAATCCGAGTCAAGCACCTTTGACTCGACGCTTCTCGCCCCCTCACGGAGAATCTAGCACGATCTTGTGGAACGCTCTGTGAATACCCTATAAATACTGTTGTAATAATTTTCCTTTGTCTCCATGAAGGGCTGTATAGAGCTACCGTGTCTTTTGATATACCATAGTGGGTGGAGAAGGAAGTCAGGGGACCGATATGGAGCTGCACTACCATTTAGCAAGACAAAACAGACGGGGAGTACAACCATGCTCCTGGTCTTCTCTCTTCTCCTTACCGCATACTTTGGCAGGCCCAATTCAGGCGTAACTCCTAGACGGCCGCACGATACAACAAACACAACTATGTTGCTACAAGCCCAAAGCCTGACTCGGAACAAGCAGCCGAATAGCCACGGTGATAATGTACTCCCGGATTTGGTCACTCGATATACTTCACCCGACTGAGGCTTCATGAGCGGTACAGGGTCACTACTTTCCCCCTCCATCTCTTACTTTACAAGGACCACCCAGTAACCTGGGACTCTGGATTGGCCAGTAATCCTCCCCTCTCGTCAAAAAAGACTGTCAAATTTGGGCAAATTTTCCCAGCCAACTTTCGAATAATAAAATCCGTAAACACAAAGACTGTCTGGCACGGTGATTGATTTTCGTTTAGTTATCGTGGACCAGAACGCTAATTTCAGCTCTATTCGTCTCTAAGATGTCAGGTCACTGATCATACGGATGGCGTGGAAATTTCCAGATCTTTTTTCCTCATTGTGAGGAATGTCTGTTTTTTAGGTTCAGCATCCATCCTTCTTCTCCTTTTATGGAACACCTGGATCGCTGAAGTGACCTTCAGATGACGGTTTAAATGGCGCCCCAAGTGCTCCCTTGATAAAAGATGAATAAAGGACTGTTGACCCGTTTCGGTTATATTGACAAGGCGCGAACTTATCGATCGGAGGTTCGAACACAACCTCACCCTCTCGACTGTTCCTGGCAGTATCTCAGCTGTCTTACTTCTTTCAGTTGGAAACTAGATACCGGAAAGGTGTTACAGCTGAGCGATTTTTGCACTTGAATAGGAAGAACACAACTCACAACTGGTTGGCTTTCACTGGTCAATCATCACCGACCCAACTTATGCGGGTGGATCGATCTCAGTGAAATGTCGACATCCTACAGTCGTTGTCTTCTCGCTGTATTATTTACCTGTATAAAAGGAGCCAATATTATTACACCGACAAAAATAGAATGAAATATTTTGCTTCGAATTCTATCCATGGATGCATGGTGATGAACAGCCCGTTTTACACAACTTTATTCCGCTTTGCTTGGGAGCGTTGACGCCTGATCTGTTCAACTCGAATATTTGAAAAAAATACCGAAATGTATGTACATCAGGCTGGTTCCACATGGTTCGGAATGGGAACAATGCGGTCAGGATCTGACAGAAAACGAAAGTGCTGAATAATGTAGAGCTTAGTGAACTTTTTCACTTATATTTGGTCCCCCGTGAGTACCAATCGCCCCGGCTAAAAGTGATGTTATTGATTCGTGCCTCTTTTGGGTGACTGATATTTGTTCACTGTACCCAGTTAACTTTAGTCACATTTTCATTTTGATTTCGTGCGTTGCGAAGAAGTGATTACAAGCCTGGATGAAATACCAAATTGGATAAATCGATGAATTCACCTTCAAAATGGAACCCTTGATGAAGTAAAAAAATCTATGAACGAGCAAATAAATAGCCGTAAGGACTGGGATAGTGCTGCGATATGTACGGAAAGTTGAGTTGACCCGGAGTGAGACCAACTGATTTACCAAGGGGACTTTCCAGAAAACCATTTAGCTAACCTCAGCATTGCTGTCCTGATGTTCGTACCAAACCCCCGCGGTCTTTTGTGGGCACAACATGTCAAACAGACAGTCTTTGAAGACCTTCCACATGTTGTGATAAATGGGACCGGGATATGGTACACTTTTCCCTTCACAGTCAAGCTGACGTCACAGCGGTGAGTGGCCGGAGGCAGTACACTATTCATGGGGCAGATCGAAACTGTTCGACAGAGCACTACCGGTTTCGCCCATTTTGGGACTCATCAGGTGGGTGAATTTAAAGTAAATGAATTCACAGAGCTGTTTGGGTGCAATGGCCGCTAGGCTGACGGTAGCGTGGGCTAATCCTATGATTCTGCCATGTTATTTTGTCCTTGATCCTAGTTTCAAGTTTCACACTGAATTCTCACCTAATGACCAAAACGTGCTCAACGCTATTCACTGGAAAATACAATAAAATACAGCTTTTCCATGGAATTTGGTTTGAATCAGTCGATAAGCTAAGTGAGCCTTTCTAGCCACTGACCAACTGACAATAGACTGGTCGACCAATCAGACTCGGCCACAACCACTAACGCATAAACCAATCAGCAGCCTCGGACGTGTACAACATCCAATTGGTGGCAGTGAATGAGCTGGTGAGCGGTTAGACTGTTTTATCCGAACAACGTCGGTCCTCGGAGTAAACATTATTTTACCAAGCCATGGGTTAGGAATCGGATGTAGGAAGTAAAGGCGCCGTGGGTTCCAACACCGGTAGCTTGTTTTGAAAACGGTGTGCAATTCACGCGCACTGGTTTAATCAGCAGTGTGGTGGCGACTTCTGGTCTATTATTCTTATGGATAGAATTCCTAATCTAGTGATGTGGTGCAGCGTTCTCACTGGCAAGAAAAGCGGTAGTGAACAAAGCTGGTTACTTGTAACTGGTCCTTTTGGCTAATACATACTCGGCAGAAGTCACGTGTACTGTGAGACGAATTCACGGGTACGTTTATGAAAAATAGGGAGCATGAGGACAAGGGTTAGTGAGTCAACTGGTGTAACGAAACAAGAACATGAACAGGAATTTTCCATTCAGGACTTGTGCAATTTTCTTTTGACCCCAGAGGTTATGGGATTCCCATGACCTCTACAATCGATACTGTTGTACACCGAAACGTTTGTACTTGGTTTAGGGACACTCAGTAGGGGACTTGGAAGTCGTGCAGGAGAATGCGAGAACACAATCCCTTGTTCTTGTTCATGACCTCATTTCTGCGTCAAGTCTGGTCGAAACCCATCACACTGTAAAGAAAGACTACCTTTTAGGCTATGCCTTGAACGTGTGTGAATCGATCAAGAAATTAGACTATGGTCGATTGAGTAGGCAAACGGAAGTACACAAATCTGTGCTCCAAATAAACTTGCACAATACAGCACACTACTCACAAGACTGCTGAAGACTCTTAGACGGCCTACGACCGGTTGCAACCTTCAGGTAGGCGCAGTGCCCGAGATTCTGTCAACTGTATGCTCTA